GCTGCGACCAATCAGAGGCAGAGTGGACCGGCTGCGGCCAATCAGAGGCAGAGTGGACCGGCTGCGGCCAATCAGAGGCAGAGTGGACCGGCTGCGGCCAATCAGAGGCCAGCAGGACGTACCTGGTTCACCTTTAGGACCTGAAAAAAACCCAGGAAAATCAGTTGTTAGAGATTTTAATTTGCCACATTGCCTTGTCTAGCTTTGCATCGCTGCTTTCCACTGATCATCATCAGGCATAAATTATGAGATCAAAATGTCATGATTACCTTTAAAACTTTTAAAATTTACTAACAGTTATATTCTAATGATTTCAAATATTCTGCTCATCTTAAACCTGATCAAATGTAATATTGAGCCCATTACCAGTGGTGAGCACATTTCCACTTAGCTGCTAATAGCAGCTAATAGCAAAGCTAGCATTTTTGCTAACTTTGAAGCTAATTTTATTTTCTTGTCTTTTTTTGTAAACTTTAAGTTGAATAAAGTTCAGGATCTGTGTTGGAGTTTTAGTTATTTACTCTATCTGAAGTTCAATATATGAAATAAAGACAATAAAATAAGGAAATTGCTTTTTGTTGCAGATGTTTGGAAGAGTTAAAAAAATGTTTACTGTAAATAAAGTTAATTTATGAACGTTCTGTATGACTAAAGTCAAATTTTTATTTCCACATAAAACTGCCTTTTATGTTACAGCAATTTTAAAGTTTTTTCCATAAAAAGTTTTCCACAACATTTCACAATGATCTTGTATAACAACAATAATCCCAAAATGCACCGTGGAAGTTAGCATTTAGCATTAGCTTCTGCTAAACTCCATTTTGATGTGTCAGTTTAGTGTTAGTGTCCCTAATGTTCATGGTTAGTGGTTTAGCGCAGCCAGCAGTGTGTTTTTAAGGGAAAATGAAAACAGCTGATTCCTGAACACTTTTTACCTCAGAAAAATCTCACTGAGATTAAAAATGTTTTCACACCTGGATAAAAACTAAGAGTGATGCCAGATTTATTTTAGAGCTGTAGGAATGAAGTTTCCCACCTGGAAATCCTCGGGAGCCAGCGTCTCCTTTCAGCCCAGGAGGTCCGGGGGGCCCCCGGGGGCCCGGCAGCCCCATCAGGCCTTTCTCTCCTGGAGGCCCTGGAAGGCCTGAGGGAGGAAGTTTGATAAATAATAAAACATTTTAAAAAACTGCATTTCCAGACGAGGAATCAGAAAGATTTTTAGCCGCATGAATCCGATTTTTTTGACAAACACTTTAATTTTATTTCAGATCATAAATAAAACTGAAGTTTCTGTTAGTTTGGTGGCAGTTTGGTAGGGAGCAGTTAAAACCTGGGAGTTTACGACAAGCAAATTTATCATTTAATAGGAGAGGATGTTTAAAGCAGACTTCAGTCTTTAGGAAACAAATCAACATTAATTTGAAAAGAAATCGTTCATCTCATCTGGGATGAACCATTCAAGCATTTCATGTCTCTGCTGTTCAGGCCCGGCGGCATGGACGGGCATTGGGGGACATGGACGGGCATTGGGGGACATGGACGGGCATTGGGGGACATGGACGGGCATTGGGGGACATGGACGGGCATTG